TCCATCTCTTCATGTTATCTTCCCACTTGTTCTTCTCCCCAGCTCCTTTCTAGCTGAGGGAGTGAAACCCAGGGTGGTGTCAGTCAGGGAAGTGGTATTGTTGCCATCCTCTGCCCACATGGGTGCTCCCCTCCTGGAAGCTCAGCTCTGCCTGCACTGGCTCACACGACACTGATGCTGTTTGGGTCATCTTAACATCGGCTTTGCCAAGCACTGTGTGGTCCCAGACTACTTTGGGATGCTGTTAGCTTCTTCACAAGGAGCTAGTGGGAAAGGACTGATGGATGCTGGCATCTTTGCTTGTCTGCACACACAGATGTAGATGGCTACTCCTGCCTCCACTCTTGAAGGTATTTACACACATGTGAGTTGTGTTTCAGAATCATGTCTGACTGCACAGTGGTGGGAGCAGCTCCCAGGGCTCCCCCATGAGGGGTATGTATGGGCACAGGGCCACCCAAAGCAGTTGCAAAGCTTCCTCATCCCAACCCAAATATCTGCATCTCCACAGACACTCTCCCCATCGGACTGAGGCACGAGGACACAGCTGTGAAGTTCACTCTATGGTGTGTTGCTACAAGCCTGGTAAATTGTTTGAGGGTTCAGTGATTCCTCTCAGACAACAGACACCTTTCAACCAGCAGAATCCCGACAGTCTGCCATTATTTTAATGTATGGCCCATAGGGCGATTTTGAGGGGGAAACTCAACACTCTTGAGTTTCCCCATCAAACTGCTGCTCAGTTTGGTTGCTTTCCATCCCTTTCTACTTCCGCACAGCCCAACATGCATCTCAGCGCCACATCATCCCAATTCTGGCATTTTAATGCAAGAGCAGACAGGGATTTGGCGCATGAGGCACAGCCGATGACACACAGCACCTGGAGCTCGCTGCCTCCTTTCCAAAAGGAAGAGAAAGAAGCTGCTGTCTGGTCATTTTGGGCTGCCTGGCGTGCTCTCCGCCAGGGCCTGCTCAGCAATGCAGCTCTCCTCAGCTCACAAACTTGTGGAAAGCATCAGAAATGTCAAAATTGCCTTCTGCTCTGCAGCGGGTCTACCAGCGATTTGTTTTTCTCTAAGCTGGGCAGCGGCAGGAGACGCTACTCTCTGCAGTTTTAATACTCATTTTTTCCTTTTTGGCTCCACAGTTCAGACGCATCGTCCATTTACAGGATGGGCAAATGGCACTGACATGGTCATTGTTTCTCCCCTGCACACCTACCTTCCCCCCGGGAAGCTTAAAAATGTGCCAAATTCCTCCTTCCACCATAAAAAGCTGTCGGTATTTTGCAAGAAGGGGAAGCTGTAGTCAAAAACTATTGTTGCTTCAAGAAAAAAGAAAAAGGCAGCAGGAAGGAATGGGCCTTCCCACTCCCACCACCTGAGCGAGCACCCACGCCCCGGGGAAATGGGGCACTTTGTGCCTTTGGCTAAAATAGATCCTTCTTACCATCACTTAACACTGCCTGTGCTGCAGAGCTTCTCTCTTAGGTCATTTGCTGAAGCTTTTCCTCCACCCTCCAAACACAACCCTTACCGTGCTACAAAGCCAGGGCTGCCGGCAGCCCTGTGCTGGAGCTGCCGTGGGTCATCACGGAGCTCAGGCCCTTTGCAGAGGGGAACAACAGGGCCATTTCAGTGGGCAGCAGCTGAAAAAGGATTTTCTTTCCCAGGTCTGCAAGCATTTGCTGCTTTACAGTCCACATTTTCCCTTTTAAATCAAATCTGAAATCAAATTTAACAGTTATGGCTTTCTGTGCTGCACTAGAAGAGGTTCAAAGGGTGTGGAGGGAGAGTGCCTGTAGCCTGCCATTCAGAGGGATCCATTAAAAAAAATTCAATAAAACAATACAAAAAGAAACTGTCTTCTTGCAGGCACAGCCTCAAGCAAATACACACAAAGCCACAAAGAGGGAAATGCCTGCACTGATCTGTCTGTCCCCAGCCAAAAACATACGCTCGCCGCAGTATGCACAGACTGAAGGGAGACGAACCAGAATGATGTAGCTGGACCCAAAACAAAGTTCCCAAGGAAGTAAATTCCCCAATCAGTGAGCATCTGGGTTCCAGGTCCTGAAAAATCAAACACTATACACAGACTATCATAAACATGGACATCTGACATTTTGCTCAGCTGGACAGGACATTAAACAGGAGTTCAGATCCCAGGGAATGGCATTTAGCCTGGATATACCGCTGCCTGGATGAATGCTTTGACCACTGTTGAGAAGATCACCTTTCCCCCCTCCTCTGTTCCATTTCTGCCCCCATCACCAAAAGCACCTTGCAAATTCAGGATGAACTGTCTACCAACTAAACCTGGTAAATAAACTGTCCAGCTATAAGCTCTCTGGATTCTAGTTCCTTTTTTCTTCTTCAGGGTAGAAAACAGCGAACCGTATCATTTCAGAGCACTGACACCAGCTGATAAAATAATCCTGACATTTGCTTGCTGCAGATTAAAAAAAGCCCCAGCAATTACCGAAAAACCTGCAAGTTTCAGTTCTGTCAATGACCATCTTTATCCGCTATCACTATAGTACACTAATGTTTAACATCAGCTATCAAATTTCCCATCCTCAATAACTAACAAAAAAGTGTTCATCCAAAGGTGGCATCACAAACAGCCAATGAAAGAAATTTACTGTATCTACCGCTGCTGACATGAAGGGACACAGTTTCTTGTAGCAGGAAGAATTTCTTTGACCTTGTTTGAGTTCCCAGCATCTGCTGAGACAATTGACATAGGGGACAAAATTTGATGCAGTGAGGAGGATACCAGGTTATTTGGCACAGGAGATATCAAACAAAACGTTATGTAGTTTTCAGAGTAACAATTTTTGGATAGTAAGAACTACAGCTTAGCTTGAACTGGGAAAATACCAGTTGAAAGCTAACCAAGAATTAGTTTGTTCACACACTGCTTACTTTTGGCTTTCCAGCCAATCTAACATGAATTTCCTGAGTTTACTTCCACCTGACACATATGAAAGTACTTCATGAGCACTGATAAAAACTAACATTCAGTCAATGTCCCCCAAGCTAAACAGATGGAAGTGGGAACAGTTAGTGAAATTTTCCTCTGCAGGGGAGCTTGTCTAGTCAAACTTAAGAGCAGAAGCGAGAGTAGTTTCTAATAATGACACGACCCCTAATTGTATAGAACATAATTTCAAGTCAGCTGCAAGAAAGCCTGTTCACATGAAATGCTATTTGCATAAATTACACTTAGCCAGGCCAAGTCCTGCACCCATTGCGCTACACGATGGAGCTTAACGCTGACCTCGGTGAGCCACAGGTGTGGTTCTCAACTGCGTGGGAGTAAGACCAAACCCACAGTCAAAAACTGAGCTGCCCAGCTTAAGAGTTGCCTAGCTTAAGTCTCCAGCTGACAGGTAATTCTCCTTCCTCATTCACTGACTGCCCACTCCTGAACACAAGACAAAACTTCAACAGGAAGCTCCAGCAAGATTTTATTCAATGGTATACAACAGGGAGAAATTAGGATTAAAGAAGAATCATATACATTACTGATTTTTTCAAGTTGCTAAAACAAACCAATAGTGACCAGAACAACTGAGGCTGATGACAAAACAAGAAGCATGGTGATCTTCTCTCTAGTGTCCATACCTGCAAATATACAACATGTTAATGCTTTTTAAAAAACTCTGTTTCATACTAGTGCTAATTTGGGCAGATTTATTCTCATTCTAACACAAGGTAATTAACATGTAAATCAAATAAATGCTATGTTATGGAAACTTTAGGAAGTTTTCCACATTTCACTTCTCCCAAAAGTCTATCCATAGTTAGAACAGAGCCTGAGCAATCCACAATATCATATGCAAGAGACCCTCAGTATCACCATCTTTTGCCCTGAACTGCACTTCAAATATATCCTGCATGAAAACAACGACAAAGCTTGTCATAGCCCCAGACCTATTACTGGCCACCCAGAAGAAGATATGCATCCATGTCTCCATTTCTCATCATGCAGCCACACAATATTAAGTCACTAGCCAGGCAACATGAGTTCAGTTTTCATTAAGTGTTCATCAAAACATCTTAATAGCAAAACTAGGGTACTCAAGTTGTCCTGTCAACGACGATTTGTGCAACTGATTGTGAACCAGATCCCAAAGACTATCTTGAACAATTACAATATCTGTTTTGCTTTGTTTTAATCTGGACTCTGGTTAGAATTAATATCGTGGGTTTTGTTTTGTTTAGTTTTTTTAAAAAAAGAGAGTGAGGAGAGGGAAAATCCACATTTAAGAAAAGATTAATGGAGAAATGCTGCAGAATGACGCAAGTGACAGGCAAACTTCCTAACTACTCGCAGTGTACAATTATCTCTTAAAATACAATTATCCCTCAAAAACCCATCCATGGATCTCCTATTACTATTCTAACAGGCCTTTGAAAAACACAAAATAAAACAAAGAATACAGAAATTATGAATAAATGGACCAAGGCTGTAGCAATGGCTACATGAACATGTGATTTCCAGATGCTAGGAAATCATCTGTATTAATCTCTGAACCTATTAGAGTTACAAAACAAATCACCAAGATACAGAGGGACCCAATATGACTTCTGGCACCTCAGCAGTAATGCTTTGGAAGACAAACAGCTAAATTCAGGTCATTTTCTAAACATCCAAATTGCTCATGCAGCAGTAGAGTATTCACCTGAGGCTCCACTTTCAGTGAGTTCCATTTCTCTTCTGCTCTCTGTTCTTTAGAGAGAACGTCAATAGATATCACAACTTTTGAACAACTCCCACTTACCCCACAGCTGCTGGAGCTTCCTTCAGAGTTCATTTACCACCAAGTGACTAAGGAAAGGTCCCTATATGGCATGGTGGAGAAAAAATCTTTCCCGACAGCAGCTATGCCCTCAGACCCAGAAATGAGAGCGATTACCCACACATCTGACATTGATTATTTCTATTAAGAGAAGGTCAATTGGATTTTTCATCTTGAAATCTGTGCAGGATACCTACTTTTGGAACTCCCATTCCCTGTTGTCCAGCGGACATACTTGACGAGTTTTGAGCCAGCGAGAGATGCAGTGGAAGTGGAAAGCATGCTGGAAGAAAAAGTTCAGATCACATCATTTCAGAACACGTGAATGTATCTCAATGTGAAAAATACCATTGAAAGCATCTCGGTGAGAAGAGGGTAACAAGTCTTTGCAGACAAAGGTGGGGAGGACTGATCAGCCAGCTCACTGGAACTGATCCACATGTTCAGAGAGGAAGGGAACGTTAGTGAAATGGCAGCAGGGAGCCTGTTCCACAGTGCATGCAGTGGCAAGCGATTGACTCCTGATGGAGAGAACGCAGAGTTTTACAGCTGCTAAAATTGACAGAGCAGATGCTGATAAGATGCATCATCAGAAAGACAAGGAAGAGGATTTCACACTAAGTCACAGGGATGATATGTATTTATACATGCTGAAGCTTTCTGCCAGTCTTCTGGACAAGCCAAAGCCTGAATAAAAAGGAACTTGGAAAATTAGAAAGAAAAAAAGTCTCTATTTTGTGTTTAATAAGAACATCCTTTTCCATACCTCATACAGCTACCTAAAAACAAAGTTCAACTTGTGGTAACTCTTGCACACAAAAACATAATTTTGACATTAGAATATTCCACCACGGTTAAAAAAGTTCCTCTTGTCCTCTAGAAGCAGAATTGCCACATTTATAATCCTGTTCCAGCATTATCAAGCTGTAACTTGATCCCACACCACAGTGAGGATGGGACTGAGGAACAGGTAGTTATTCCATTGTGGAAAATACTCTCTTCCAAATCAGGCCCAGGCTAGCTAGGAGGTATGCAAGTTTGAGTTCTCATGCTAGTGGGACCATGTACAAAGGACTGCATATGGCAACAAATTGAAGAGCAGGAGATTACACACTAGAACCATTTTGATCTTCCTCCAAAAGAGGAAGCAGATCACCTAGTTACCCCATATCGACACGTCCTTGAATCAGCCTGCACAAAGACAAATCAAGCATGCTGACATACAAGTAATCCTATTACCAGGGAAAAAAAAAAGACATGGTTCCTAGGCAGAACCTTGATCAAGAAAATCATGTTGAGAATGAAAGATCTATATTAAAAAAAAAAACAAAACCCAAAACAACAGGTAAAGGCCTATCTTCCTCTTTTCTCTTCTCTGTCTTCAGTATTACACCTCCCCAACTTTCACTCTTTCTTTTCCCTTCTCTCTCCTTTCTACACTGTACTATACATACGGTGCTTAAAGTTCTTTTTTCTGGTGGATTATCTGAAACATTTTATAGAACTCATTTTGTCCTGAGTCATTAAAAAAGGGGAAAACATCATCACACATAAACTCCACAATAAAAGAGTTTTCCTTACATTGCAGACACCCCATGCAACTGTGCACTCTTCAGAGGTAGCTGATGCTTGGTTTGCTTGACATTCTATGCCTGTGAAAACAAAGATTAAGCACATATAGCAGGAGTAGAAGATATACATGCAACACCAACTAGTAGCTTTCTTCATAATAGTGGCGGGGGGGGGCAGGGAGAAGTGTTCTTTGTTTTGTTGTGTTTATTATATCAAGAAATGTCAAGAGCTGTTGGTTTAATGTGTACTGTTTTCCTAAAACTATCAGATCAAAATATACTTCATCCTGCTTTCCTCCTTCCTCTGCATTTTTAGTATTCCAAATTTCCAGAGGGCAAGAGCACACAGCTCATCTACCGGTAATGTGTCTGCTTTCCAGATTTTAAGGATAAATATTTTCAGTTTGTTCTCTTGAGTTTTAATAGATGTCTTTTGATAATCAGTTGTAGTAGCAGAGTCATGAAATACAGTTTACTTAAATTTCTTACCCAGGTTTCTCTCAATATAAATTCACTGTCTTGTCAGACATTTTGTACTATCAGTTCTGTTTACAAATTAATTTGCCAGTTTCTCTTCTACAGTCTTGTGATAGCCCAAAATACACAATAGAAAATACAGTTTAAAATGTATTTGTTTAACTTTTTACACCTTAGAGCTGAGTACCTAGGATGATCTCAAAAAGGATAAAGACTATTTATGGGTTTGGGTTATGTTTTACTTTTTCTGTCAGATAGCATGGATGAAAGTGACAAGAGAAAGGAAGAAATAACAGTACTGGGAAAATAAATCCAGCAACTTGGTTATCCATTCTAGAGCCTGAAAAAATCACTTCTGCTCCAACTCAAGAAGAAACTTCAGGGGAAAAAAAAAAAAAAAAAAGATATTCCCAACTCCTCCACAGCCAGCAGCACAAACCTACAAGGCCAACGTTTTACATCCTGCACAAGGATGCTTTCTTTAAAAGTCAAGCCCAAATGACTTAAAACGACATGCTGATAGATGATCAGCTTAGAACTCGATACACGGGCTTGTTGTTTGCTTGTTTTGCAGATTTATTTTTTTTTCTTGGCAAAGAAAATGCCTGAATGAGCTCCAATTCTTTGTTCACTTTTAGTGTGCCCAAATACACCCAGAGGAAGAGGAATTTGATTCACCAATTAAGGATTCAAAAACTTTCAAACTCCAAAGGCTGAGCTGAAAAACGTGATCTTTATTTGCTCTGTCCTATTCACTCCTTTCTCTGTTTTTCACTCTTTCTGGTGTGGAGATGAACAAAATAAAAGAAAGGCCCATTTTTCCTGAGATGTGAGAGAGATCAGTTAACAAGCTACTCAAAACAATACTGAGGTCTAAACAAACTCAGCAGCAACAACTGTTCTGCGAGATTTGAATGAAGCTGTATTTATTGTATGGTTTACATCAAGATAGGATATACCACAGCAGGAAGTGCAAAGCTCAGTCTCTGGCCTGCCTATAAAAGAGAACAAAATCCAGTTCATCTGAAATAGTCTGATGTCTTAACTCCTTCAGCCCTCAATACATAGAGCAATAAAACTAAATCTGATTAAGAAAATGGAAGATGCTCAAGAACCTTGAAGAGTTTCAATTACTTTGGACATTTGTTTAAAATTTGAGACCCCAAATTGCTGTAACAATTTTACTGTTACTGCAGTATAGACTTATGGTCTTGCTGAGTATCATGGGGCATATTATATTAAGTTTTAAATATGTGGCACAAGTCTGTACAGCAACAGAAAATGGTGACAAGATGAGTAGTAGGAAAAGGAGAGAAAATTCATTTGAAGGAAGAGAACTCAATTGGTAAGCAACTATCTCAAGAAGTCTCTGCTGAAAGCAAACTTATCTTGTTTCTTCTCCTCCACCTGCTGGAAACAGGATATTGGCAATATTAGATCTGAAGTTAATCTATCCCATTTTTATGTTATTTTGTCTTTTTTTTTCCCCCCTCTCTAAGTGGCCCTAACCTGTGAGCTGTATGCTTTGGATCACAGGACATTTTTTTTTCCCCCAGGCTTTAAAGGACTCTGTGTTTTGACTGAGAGTGAGAGGGAGGAAGGGTAGTTTAGGTAAGGAAGAAAAGCAGCATTAGAATTAATTTTAGTGTTACTCAAACAGTCTAAAAGGTGACAGTCCCAAAAGCTTAAGAGGACAGATGAACTTCTGCAGAAAGAGCTGATGAGAAGTTCCCCAGTGATGATGTAAGGCCGTTCCAACAAGACACTCAGATTTAACTCCCTCATCAAACAGGCTGGAGACCACTGCTGGCACTACTACCTTTGGCTGCCAAAAAAGGGTGTCCAAAAAGCTGAAGAACTTTTGGTCTCTTACTTGCCTCATTTCAGAAAAGGACAATATATCAACGAAGAACTAAAACAAATGAAAAATCTCTGTTAGAGAATGAAAGCTGATGATTCTGGCTCTTGAAAGAAAGAGAAGCCATTTACTGGCTGCTGACCCAAAAGACACGGTAAGAGTCAGACAGTAACAGGTACTGGAGGAATGCTGAAAGACTTTTCTGTTGCCTTGCTTTTGACAGAGCATCCAGAGGTGAGGGCAGAATGATACAGCTAAAACCCGAAATACCTGTAAATAACTGTGAAAGATGCCATGGAAGCATTTCAACTCAGGGAGTTACAGAAATGAATATTATATAATGGCAACTTCTGAATCTTGGCATCTATTAACAACCATTCCTCTTCCTATACATCTTCTATGGCAGAAATCTTCTGTGTAATTACCTAACAAGAGAAGCAACCTAAGATTTAAGTAGCCATAAAGGCAGGTAACAGAAATTAAGCATGTCTTTTGTTCGCAGCTACAGTAACAGCCCACTGCACTGGTAAATTTAATGAAGAGCTCTTTAAAGCAGCTTCCTCTTGAGCAAGGGTAACCACTGTATGGGTTCCCCTTTCTCTTTACATGTTGCCTTCTAAAATTACATCATCTTTCGCTCAGAAAACAGAGACAGAAAAAACAAATAACCAGGCTAACAAACTTGAAGTACACTGGCTACTTGTCCTATGAGGAGTGGTTAAGCACCTTGGGCTTGCCTAGTTTGGAGGAAAGGAGGCCGAGGGGCGACCTCATTGCTCTCTACAGCTTCCTGAAGAGGGGAAGTGGAGACAGAAGTGCTGATCTCTTCTCCCTGGGATCCAGTGATGGGACGCATGGGAATGGATCAAAGCTGAACCAGGGGAGGTTTAGTCTGGACATTGGGAAACATTTCTTTACCGAGAAGGTGGTCAAATACTGGAACAGGCTTCCTAGAGAGGTGGTTGATGCCCCAAGCCTGTCAGTATTTAAAAGTCATCTGGACAATGCCCTATAAACACGCTTTAACTTTAGGTCAGCCCTGATCTGGTCAGGCAGTTGGACTAGATGATTGTTGTAGGTCCCTTTCAACTGAAATATTCTAGTCTATCTAATCTATTCCCCCAAAATGCAGAATGAGCTCTTCAATTTCCTTTTTCAAACTTTGGAGGAACTTCAGAATTTTCCCCTTGCAAGTCTATCCAGTTTCCTAGGAATTATTTGCAGATTTTACTAAATACCCTAAGTTCCCTCCCATCATATCATCACACGATTCCTTCTACCTATAACCCCCTTGTATGACACTCAGTATTTCCTGTTAGTATCAGATTCTCAAAATATAAGTCCACAGCTATCATCTTCCACTCCTACTTATGACTTAGCAAACTATATATACTTAGATCTGTTCTTTTATTCTTCTCATAAATCCAAAATCATTCAACCTGTTAAGCATCCTTAGATTCTTATTTGGATTCTAAGCATATACCTATCTTTGTGAAGCTGGAATATCAAATGTGGTACACTTTGCACCTTAGTATCAAAGAAAGGGGGTGGCATTTTGGTGGCACATTTTACACAGTTCACAACTATACCGGTCACCTTACTACAATATTACATTCCACATTTTAGACCAGAAGGCAAACCGCTATTCTAAACCTAGTGTTTAGTTAACACTCCACAACTTACCATGTTGCAATGACAGGACCAGAGAGCAAGGTTGTGAAGAATTCAGGAACACTGCTCTAGTAAAATCTAAACAGGTCCTGGGTCTTTCCAGAGAAGAACAGAACCAAAACACTGAAGATCTACTAATTCCTTCTGTACACTGAGTACAAACCACACTGAGGGCAGGGGGAATCCTTTGACCATATTATTACCAAGTTGCAACATACACGCATGAGGAGAACTGTGACACCTTAACATGACGCCTGACTTCACAACACTAACAATCTTCCATGAGCATGGCTGGCTGGCGATACTCATCACTCTTAGGTTTTCACTTTCAAGGTTTCTCTTCACCACTAGGAGAGGGAGACATTTGTATCCTGCATTTTATCAAATTCAATCTTGTGTTGTTCTTCCCTGCACATTCTGTTAATCTCTCCTCGATTACCCATCGCTTCACATCTTATGTCTGAAAATCTAATTAAATTGTTGTTTAACAACATTAATGGCCTGTAACAAGGAAGTAAGCAAATCCAGAGCCAACACTGATCTCGGAACACCAATTTAGATACCCCTTCTACTCTATATACTGTCAATTTTGGTCTGTCATTTGCAGTCCAGGCTATTCATAACATTGCTCATACCCAAACTAATAACTTGTTATGCTTGAACAACTCAATAAAGAAATTAAAAAGTTACCTATGCCCTCTTTTCCTTCACTGTTTTTCCCAAGCTACCTATATGCTCCCAACCCCACCCCCATTTTGGCAGGATTTTTTTTTTAAGAACTGACACATGAAATTCACTACTGGAAAATAACATCTGTCCATTCTCCTTCCAGCTCCTCCACAGCTCTCCTTCATCATCATATGTCCTATTTGCTATTTATAAAAAACAGCAAATATATGAGACTGTATTTGGTCTCTCATGGGAGGCATTATTAATTTTGAGGCAGATTCGTAGAATGAAACACAACAGCATCAACCTTCTTACAACATATCCCACTTATTGTAAATAATTATCTTGAATTACAGGATTTCATATCCTTATTCTATACATTTGTAAATTCTACAAATGTAACATGTTCTAACAAATATTTAAAATTCCCTTTGCCTGTCAGTGACGTGTTCTTCTCTAATACCTCATAAATCTGAGAGACTAAGGTAGTAGCCCAGTGTCCACCTCAACTAATTTTCCAGATGGTATAGGTTTCAGGTAATTGAAAAGGAAATCTTTACATCAAGGGACCTCAGCATATTTCATAACCCCTAACCTCACTTGTTTCTCTTTACCATCCCCTTTCTAATAACCATGAATAAACTGATACATGGATAGGCAGTAGCTGGCTCAAAATACATACCTATCTGTCCTAAAGCAAAGGAGTGAACTTGCTTAACCCATTTTCAGCCCTGTATGTTAGTGTGTTTTCTCTTTATTAAAAAAAAACCTTCTGAAACTAGTTTTGTAATTATTACTTAAATATGATGTAAAATCAGGTGCATCTCTCACTAGTTGTTACTATAAACTTGAGGTCTCACTTTTCTTAAACATTTTATTTTCACATAGGCTTACTGACAGTAAGTTACCATTTCCAGTAGTTCCAAGGGCAACTGCATAAAAAACAAAGTGCAACAAAACTATCCTAATGGATTCATGGCAGGCCATTCCCAGGCACTGCGGCTGTACCTGCTCTTGTTTTGGTGGGTTCCACAATCCTCACATTTTAGTAATATAGGCAAATAAGGCAAATTTGTATCTGAGGTATACTAAAAGGTCTTCTGACCCTCATGACTGAAACAAGATGGACAGTTATGGTGCCAACAGTACCTTGTCAGTTTTGAGGAAAAAAAAAACAAAGGTTTGTACTCATTACCAATTCTTTAGGGGACTGAAATCAGTAACTTCATGTATGCACATGTATTTCACGATGGAAATTTGTATACTTAATTCCATTACCACTTTATTTTCCTACATAGCAAGCATATTTATTAGTTGAACCATGAAGATTACACAGCAAAAAATCAAACAAATACTAGCAATACATTGCTTTTGTTTTAGGCATTTGATTTTACTCCTTTGGAATGAACAATTAATTCTCTAGGTGGCCACAAAATTCCCAATACTATAACATTAACTAAGTTATGCAAGGTAGTTTTTGTAAAATGAGGGGTCAAATTAAATCACTGGTCCAAGTCTTTCTTGCCCAGACTCAGGAAGTGCTACAAGATTTCACACTAATGAGTGTCATCAAAAAGTTGATACTCATAGCAACACCCCCAACTCTAAAATCTAATACCTCTCTGTGAGCAATACTTGTCAACCCTCAATAATTTCAGATCCTCCTGGCTCTTTATTATTACTCCTTTTCCTCTTTGTTGCATCTAAAATACACTAGTGACATCATCTTGTCTGTAGATGTGGTACCAAGTGATTATACTCTTTACAAGAAAAGGATGAGAGAAAAGCAGCATGGTGACAGAAGTCACAAAAACAGATTATAGGACCTCAGCATTACATGAAACAGAGCTTAGTATTTGCACTGTGAAGACTTAGTTCCTAACTGAAAGTGGCATTTGCTGAATTACAGCCTCAACATGGAAAATTTCAGCTGCACATCATGTACAAGTCAAAACTGTCAACTGTCTTCCCCACCATTTACTTACATAGATCCATAATATGGTTTCTGCAAATGGCACAGTTATCAACCACAATGTCCCATGCCCACAGAGCTACTGCATTCCACTAGAGAGAGGAAAAAAAAGAAAGAGAAAAACATAGTTTTGACTCAATTTACAGCACACAGAAATCCTTGTTATTCCTCAAGACTCCATGGATTTTAAAATGGAAAAGGTGGGATATTAAAAAATATAATAAAATCTTAGAAGTCCAGAGCAATTCCTTGTCATGAGTTCAGGTTACTAGAAAGCACTGGTACATTCCTCTCACATACCTCCCAGAGCCCAGGTCCCCTTCCAACTTCAGAATCAAGGTAACTCCCATAGTGCCCTTTTTTGTGAAACAAATGCAAACATCTGCATTTCTATTCAACATCCAGAGGCAAAGATGCAGCTCATGCCACATCCTCAATTCTGATGGAAAGGACAGTGCCTTGGAGAAAGGCCAATCCAGGTGCCATTTTGGTAAGAGGAATTTCCATTATTCGCAGCAGTTCTTCTAGTAATCACCCCCCAGAGCAGCTGGGGCCAAGAAGTAAAATCAACTCTAATGCTACTTTTCGCTGACTCCTGAACAAACTCCTCTGCAAAAGGTTACTAGGCAATGACCTGCCAGCAAGGCTGAATATAAAAATCTGAAAGTACCACCAAATTAACCTTTAAAAGACTTGGCTTATTTAAAAAAACAACAACAACAAAAACCCATCTCTGTCCCATGGGAATGGTTGGCTATGAATTTCCATGGCAATTTTAGAAAACTGATTCAGAATGAGGACTTTAACCCTTTTTATTCCTCCCCACAAAAACAATAATCAGGTCTTTTATAGATTCATAGATGGGCTTGCCTTCAATACCCAAAGCAATCCAAAATCATATTGGTGGCCAGGATAATTTTCATTTACTACTTAAGTAGTCTAGATATTTTGTTTCCTTCCATTTTTTCACTATATGATTGTATCTTTTCTGCCGTGTTCCATTTACATCTCAATGTTTGCATTGCTTCCCCTGAGTTCGGGATTCTGAGGGAGGAACGCTCATTGCCAAGTATTGATAGGCAGTAACAATTTGGATAAGCACTTCAATTTTTCATTAGTACTGACAGTCATCATAATAGTACTAGATCTTTTACGATATGGGTCAGTAGTGATCTCACTTTTTCTCCCCAGTTTCCAGCTTCAAGTCTAGCCAGCCTTCTGGCTGAGGTACTCATCTCTCAAGGACTTCATCAACACTTCAAGGCAGCTAGGATAAAAGTTCTCAGCACCCTTATCTCTCCCAAACTCTCAGGTACTTAATCTCTTGTCCCAACACAAGCTACTCTTGTGACCCACACATCTGTACTGAGCCACGCATACAACAAATGTGCCTTGGTACCCTTCTGGGGAGGAGGAATGCCACTGGCACATAGAAGGTGCCACTTCCTGCTCCTCTCGTGCTATTATATCTGCCTGATTTCCAAACAACAAGTAGTTGCATTATCCAAACGTCTTCTGCATAGACCTGCAGCCCTGTGCAGAGCTTAGGGATCTCCACCATCACTGATGACAGCTGCATTTCAAAGAAACTGTGTCTGTGAGCAGGAATCACTGGAACTGTTTGCCGATATCAAGTCCAGAGACAATTTTTCCTCCAATTCTACCTTAGGACAAGCCCCCACCGCGTCCCTATTTGCTCTGCACCCTCCTGTAACAGGTTTGGACCATCACCACCATCCAGCTGACAAACTGGTGGCACCGGACCGGACAGAAGACCGATAATACGTTTGTTCTGGGGAGGGTGACAAAGCCAGGGTGACAGGGCAGCATTTGCCGACTACACGCACGTTGTTACAACTCGATTTAGAGACGAAAAACGAGAAGCGGCCACACAAATTTCCGCAACGCGTCTTACGCGGCGCATCGGGCAGCTCGGGCGGCTGGGCCGGAGCGGCCGGGGCTGAGGAGGAGGAGGCAGCGCTCCACGCCTGCTCCCTGGCCTCAGCTGCCCAGA